CACCCTTGACAGGTAACAACACCCTTGACAGTAACAACACCCTGGACAGGTAACAACACCTAGACAGGTAACATCACCCTAGACAGGTAACAACACCCTTGACAGGTAACAACACCCTAGACAGGTAACATCACCCTAGAGAGGTAACAACACCCTAGACAGGTAACATCACCCTAGACAGGTAACAACACCCTTGACAGGTAACAACACCCTAGACAGGTAACATCACCCTAGAGAGGTAACAACACCCAGACAGGTAACAACACCCTAGACAGGTAACATCACCCTAGACAGGTAACAACACCCTTGACAAGGTAACAACACCTTGACAGGTAACAAACACCCTAGACAGGTAACAACACCCTTGACAGGTAACAACACCCTAGACAGGTAACAACACCCCAGGACAGGTAACAACACTCTAGACAGGTAACAACACTGACAGGCAACACCCTTTGACAGGTAACAACACCCTAGACAGGTACAACACCTTGGACAGGTAACAACACCCTAGACAGGTAACAACACCCTAGACAGGTAACATCACCCTAGAGAGGTAACACCCTTGACAGGTAACATCACCCCTAGACAGGTAACAACACCCTAGACAGGTAACAACACCCTTGACAGGTAACAACACCCTAGACAGGCACCCTAGACAGGTAACAACACCCTAGACAGGTAACAACACCCTAGAGAGGTAACAACACCCTAGAGAGGTAACAACACCCTTGACAGGTAACAACACCCTAGACAGGTAACAACACCCTAGACAGGTAACAACACCTTGGACAGGTAACATCACCCTAGAGAGGTAACAACACCCTTGACAGGTAACATCACCAGACAGGTAACAACACCCCAGACAGGTAACAACACCCCTTGACAGGTAACAACACCCTAGAGAGGTAACAACACCCTTGACAGGTAACAACACCCTTGACAGGTAACATCACCCTAGACAGGTACAACACTTGGACAGGTAACAACACTTGACAGGTAACAACACCCCTGACAGGTAACAACACCCTGGACAGGTAACAACACCCTGGACAGGTAACAACACCCAAGAGAGGTAACAACACCCTAGAGAGGTAACAACACCCTTGACAGGTAACAACACCCTTGGACAGGGTAACAACACCCTTGACAGGTAACAACACCCTTGGACAGGTAACAACACCCTGGACAGGTAACAACACCCTGGACAGGTAACAACACCCAAGACAGGTAACAACACCCTAGAGAGGTAACAACACCCTTGACAGGTAACAACACCCTGACAGGTAACAACACCCAGGCAGGTAACATCACCTTGACAGGTAACATCACCCTAGAGAGGTAACAACACCCTGACAGGTAACAAACCCCTGACAGGTAACAACACCCTTGACAGGTAACAACACCCAGACGGGTAACAACACCCTTGACAGGTAACAACACCCTAGACAGGTAACACCTAGAGAGGTAACAACCTCTAGACAGGTAACAACACTTGACGGGTAACAACACCCTTGACAGGTAACAACACCCCTAGACAGGTAACAACACCCTTGACAGGTAAAACACCCTAGACAGGTAACAACACTTAGACAGGTAACATCACCCTAGACAGGTAACAACACCCTGGCAGGTAACATCACTAGAAGGTAACAACACCCTGAACTAACAACACCCTTGACAGGTAACACACCCTAGACAGGTAACATCACCCTAGACAGGTAACAACACCCTTGACAGGTAACAACACCCTGGACAGGTAACAACACCCTTGACAGGTAACAACACCCTGAGAGTGGACAACACCCTGGACAGGTAACAACACCCTAAGAGGTAACAACACCCTAGAGAGGTAACACCCTTGACAGGTAACAACACCCTTGACAGGTAACAACACCATGACAGGTAACCGACAGTACACCCTGGACAGTAACAACACTGGACAGGTAACAACACCCAAGAGAGGTAACAACACCTTAGAGAGTAACAACACCCTGGACAGGTAACAACACCCTTGACAGGTAACAACACTATGAGTAACATCACCCTTGACAGGTAACATCACCTAGACAGGTAACAACACCCTTGACAGGTAACAACACCTAGACAGGTAACAACACCCTAGACAGGTAACAACACTAGACGGTAACAACACCCTTGACAGGTAACAACACCCTAGACAGGTAACAACACCCTTGACGGTAACAACACCCTGAACGGGTAACAACACCCTAGACAGGTAACATCACCCTGAACAGGTAACAACACCCTGACAGGTAACATCACCCTTGACGGTAACAACCCTAGACAGGTAACAACACCCTAGACAGGTAACAACACCCTAGACAGGTAACATCACCCTTGACAGGTAACATCACCCTAGACAGGTAACAACACCCAAGAGAGTAACAACACCCTGAGCAGTAACAACACCCTTGACAGGTAACAACACCTAGACAGGTAACATCACCCTTGACAGGTAACAACACCCTAGACAGGTAACAACACCCCTTGACGGGTAACAACACCTAGACAGGTAACAACACCCTTGACAGGTAACAACACCTAGACGGTAACAACACCTAGACAGAGGTAACAACACCCTTGACAGGTAACAACACCCTAGACGGTACAACACCCTAGACAGGTAACATCACCCCTTGACAGGTAACAACACCTAGACAGGTAACATCACCCTTGACGGGTAACAACACCCTTGACAGGTAACATCACCTAGACAGGTAACAACACCCTTGACAGGTAACAACACCTGAACGGTAACAACACCCTTGACAGGTAACATCACCTAGACAGGTAACAACACCCTTGACAGGTAACAACACCTAGACAGGTAACAACACCCTTGACAGGTAACATCACCTAGACGGTAACAACACCTAGACGGGTAACAACACCCTTGACAGGTAACACTCAGACAGGTAACAACACCCTGGACAGGTAACAACACCTTGGACAGGTAACATCACCCTGACAGGTAACACACCTCACAGGTAACAACACCAGACAGGTAACATCACCTTAGACAGGTAACACACCCTAGACAGGTAACAACTACCTTGGACAGGTAACAACACCCTTTGCAGGTAACATCACCAGACAGAAATAACACCTAGACAGGTAAATAACATTGGACAGGTAACAACACCTTGACAGGTAACAACACTCAGACAGGTAACATCATCTAGACAGGTAAATATCACTAGAGGTATAACCTGACAGTTCACCCCTTGGACAGGTAACAACACCCAGACAGGTAACAATACCCCAGACAGGTAACAACTACCTGACAGGTAACATCACTCAGACAGGTAAAATTCAGACAGGTAATACCTTGGTTACTTGGACAGGTAACAATACTTGAGAGGTAACAACACCCTTGAGGTAACAATACTTTTGGCAGACATAATATTACTAGACAGGTACACATTTGACAGGTATAACACTTATAGGTAATGGGGTCTTTTTTAAATACTTGACAGGTAAGAGAGACCTGACAGGTAACAAAACTTTGACAGGGTCAACATTTACAGTACATTTTTGACAGAATAACACTCTTGACAAACATAACCTGACAGGTAACAACACCCTGACAGGTATCAACACCCCAGACAGGTAACATCACTTTGACAGGTAACAACACCCTAGGACAGGTAACAACACTTTTTAACAGGTAACAACACCCAAGAGAGGTAACAACACCTCAGACAGGTAACCTGTAGTAACAACACTTGACACAAATACCTTGACAGGAAATAACAGGTAACCCTAGACAGGTAACAATACTTTATGACAGGTCAGATAAATAACAATACCATAGACAGTAAATAAATACCAAGAGAGTAACAACTACTTAGACAGGTAAAACACTGCCTGACAGGTAACATCACCTAGACAGGTAACAATGCCTTTTGACAGGTAACAATACTCAAGAGAGGGTAACAATACTTGACAGGTAATAACGTTTTCGACAGGAAACAAAACTCAAGAGAGAGGTAACAACACCCAGACAGGTAACAACCTGACAGTACACACTTTGGACAGGGCACTCTCAGACAGACAGGCAACACCAAAGAGAGGTAACACTCAGACAGGTACAATACCTTGACAGGTAACAAATACTAAGAGAGGTAACAAACATTTAGACAGGTAACAACACCTTGACAGGTAACACACTAGACAGGTAACAACATTTTGACATAAAAATACCTCGACAGAATAACTACTTTGGACAGGAAAACACTTGGACAGGTAAATACTTTGACAGGTAACAACACTTTTGACAGGTAATAATACTTGACAGGTAATTCTTGACAGGTAACACTGGACAGGCAAATACCTGGACAGGTAAACACCCTGGACAAATACACCTGGACAGGTAACAACACCCTAGACAGGTAACAACACCCTAGACAGGTAACAACACCCTGGACAGGTAACAACACCCTGGACAGGTAACAACACCCTTGACAGGTAACAACACCCTGGACAGGTAGCAACACCCTAGACAGGTAACAACACCCTAGACAGGCAACAACACCCTTGACAGGTAACAACACCCTTGACAGGTAACAACACCCTTGACAGGTAACAATACCCTTGACAGGTAGCAACACCCTAGAGAGGTAACAACACCCTAGACAGGTAACAACACCCTAGACAGGTGACATCACCCTAGACAGGTGACATCACCTTTGACAAGTAACATCACCCTAGACAGGTAACACCACCCTAGACAGGAAACAACACACTTGACAGGTAACATCACCCTAGAGAGGTAACACCACCCTAGACAGGAAACAACACCCTAGACAGGTAACAACACCCTAGAGAGGTAACACCACCCTAGACAGGTAACAATACCCTTGACAGGTAACATCACCCTCGACAGACCATGTTCGGGAGGTCGACCCAGTGTGACGGTAAAGTTGCCGTAGAGAGGAAGACAAGAGTGGGCAGCGTGGGGGCTCTTGTGTTGTAAGTCACTTCACGCCGTGTGAGGAGGGGCCACCCTGGTAGCCGTGCGACGAGGGGGCCGCCCTGGTAGCCGTGCGACGAGGGGGCCGCCCTGGTAGCCGTGCGACGAGGGGGCCGCCCTGGTAGCCGTGCGACGAGGGGGCCGCCCTGGTAGCCGTGCGACGAGGGGGCCGCCCTGGTAGCCGTGCGACGAGGGGGCCGCCCTGGTAGCCGTGCGACGAGGGGGCCGCCCTGGTAGCCGTGCGACGAGGGGGCCGCCCTGGTAGCCGTGCGACGAGGGGGCCGCTCTGGTAGCCGTGCGACGAGGGGGCCGCCCTGGTAGCCGTGCGACGGGGCAGCTCTGGTAACCCGTCTTGACGAGGAGCCGCCCTGGTAGCCGTCTGCGACAGGGGGCCGCCCTGGTAACCGTGCGACGAAGGTGCCGCCCTGGCCTTCGTGCGACGAGGGGCCGCCCTGGTAGCCGTGCGACAGGGGAGCCGCCCTGGTATACCGATGCGACGAGGGAACCGCCTGTGGAGCGATGCGACGAGGGCCGCCTGGTAGCCGTGCGTGAGGGCCGCCCTATTAACCGATGCGACAGGGCCGCCCTGGTAGCCGTGCGACGAGGGGCCGCCCTGGTAGCCGATGCGACGAGGGGAGCCCGCCCTGGTAATACGTGCGACGAGGCCGCCTGGTAGCCGTGCGACGAAGGGAGCCGCCCTGGCCAGCCGATGCGGCGGGGGCCGCCCTGGTAGCCGATGCGACGAGGGCCGTCTGGTAGCAAATCGCGACAGGGGCCGCCCTGGTAGCCGTGCGACGGGGGCCGCCCACAGTAGCCGTGCGACCTAGAGCGGCCCGCCCTGATAACCGTGCGACCTAGAGCGCGCCCGCCCTGAGCCAACCGTGCGACCTGGGGGCCCGCCTGGTATCCGTGCGACTAGGGGCCACCGTATCCCTGCGACCTGAGGCCCACCCTGACCGTGCGACGATAAGGCCACCCTGGTATCCCGTGCGACCTAGGGCCACCCTGGTAACCGTGCGACGAGGGCCACCTGGTAGAGCGTGCGAGGAGGGGCGGTAGCCGTCGCGGGAAGGGGGCCACCCCTGTGAAGCGCTTACGTGCGGGGAGGGCCACCCCTGGTAGCCGTGCGAGGAGGGGCCACCCTGGTAGGCGTTCGACGAGGGCCACCCTGGTAGCCGTGCGACGAGGGGCCACCCCTGGTAGGCGTGTGGGGAGGGGCCACCCCTGGTAGCCGTGCGGGGAGGGGCCACCCCTGGTAGCCGTGCGGGGAGGGGCCACCCCTGGTAGCCGTGCGGGGAGGGGCCACCCCTGGTAGCCGTGCGGGGAGGGGCCACCCCTGGTAGCCGTGTGAGGAGGGGCCACCCCTGGTAGCCGTGTGAGGAGGGGCCACTCTGGTAGCCGTGTGAGGAGGGGCCACCCTGGTAGCCGTGTGGGGAGAGGCCACCCTGGTATTTAGGTTTATGTCTGTTTTCATCAGTTCACTTACAGTTTATGGCGAGTTTAATGTGTTAGATGATATATATTTCAGAGGAGGTGACGCTCTTTGTATATGCAAATGAGGGAACAAAACAGTAATGTCGGTCAAGGCTGTTGATTGATGGTGACAGTTCTTACCAAGTTGGGCAGAAAATATAGTGAGAAAGATATATTTACCAACGGGCTAGATCTTTTTCTGTGTGTGTGTGTGTGTGTGTGTGTGTGTGTGTGTGTGTGTGTGTGTGTGCTGAGTATAATTTGAATCTTGTCGTGGACAGCAGCAAGTTTAGTGTGCATCCCCTACTCCTGTGAACGGTAACACAAAAAGTAGAGGTGATAAAGGGTGTTTATCAAACTCCAGTAATTAGTATATTCCAGCGTTGAGTGATACAGAGTATTTCTAGTACATTGTATGTTTAGTTGTGTACATAGACGCTTGCTTAGTTACTAGATGCGAGGTGTGGATTCAGTATAATTAGGTCACCTGTATACCCGACAGAGATAAAGTGGTGTGCCATTAGACACACATTATGCCAGGACCAGTTCCTAAAACGTGAGGTACAGGGGATAGTTAGCTGTATATGGCAGGTGAGGTACAGGGGATAGTTAGCTCTGTATGTCAGGTGAGGTACAGGGGATAGTTAGTTGTATATGGCAGGTGAGGTACAGGGGATAGTTAGCTGTGTATGGCAGGTGAGGTACAGGGGATAGTTAGCTGTGTATGTCAGGTGAGGTACAGGGGATAGTTAGCTGTATATGGCAGGTGAGGTACAGGGGATAGTTAGCTGTGTATGGCAGGTGAGGTACAGGGGATAGTTAGCTGTATATGGCAGGTGAGGTACAGGGGATAGTTAGCTGTGTATGGCAGGTGAGGCACAGGATAAAGTTAGCTGTGTATGGCAGGTGAGGTACACAGGATAGTTGAATAAGATGGCAGGTGAGGCACAGGATAGTTAAGAGGTATGTCAGGTGAGGTAAAGGGATAAAGAATATATATGGCAGAGGCAGGGGATAAGAAGCAGTATATGGCAGGTGAGTGCACAGGGATAGTTAGCTGTGTGTGTCAAGGAGGTAAAGGATAGTTAGCTGTATGGCAGGAGGCACAGGGATAGTTAGCTGTGTATGGCAGGTGAGGCAGGGGATAAGCATGTGTGTCAGGTGAGAGGTAAAGGGATAGATAAGCAGGTGGAGGTACAGGGATAGTTAGCTGTGTATGTCAGGTGAGGTACAGGGATAGTAGCTGTATATGGCAGGTGAGGTACAGGGATAGTTAGCTGTATATGGCAGGAGGTACAGGGATAGTTAGCTGTATATGGCAGGTGAGTACAGGGATAGTTAGCTGTGTATGTCAGGTGAGGTAAAGGGATAGTTAGCTGTGTATTCTCAGGTGAGGTAAAGGATATTAGCTGTGTATGTCAGGAGGTAAAGGGAAGAATGTGTATGGCAGGTGAGGCACAGGGATAGTTAGCATGTATGGCAGGTGAGGTACAGGGATAGATTGTGTATGTCAGGAGGTAAAGGGATAGTTAGATGTATCTCAGGTGAGGTAAAGGGATAGTTAGCTGTGTATGTCAGGTGAAGGGGGATAGTTAACTATGTATGTCAGGGTGAGGTAAAGGAGAAGAATGTGTATGTCAGGTGAGGTACAGAGGGATAGTTATGTGTATGTCAGGTGAGGCACAGGGATAGTTAGCTGTGTATGTGAGGGTGAGGTAGGGATAGTTAACTGTGTGATGTCAGGTGAGTAAAGGGATGAAGTTAACTGTGTGTATGTCAGGTGAGGTACAGGGCATAGTTAGCTGTGTATGTCAGGTGAAGTAAAGGGATAGTTAGCTGTGTATGGAGGTGAGTACAAGGATAAGAAGGTGTATGTCAGGTGAGGTAAAGGGATAGAATTAACTGTGTATGTCAGGAGGTAAGGGGATAGTTAATTGTAGTTGTGTGAGGAAGGAGAAGCTAAGTGTATGTCAGGTGAGGTAAAGGAAGATAGTTAGCTGAGTGTCAGGTGAGGTACAGGGGATAAGTAGGCTGTGTATGCAGGTGAGTGTAAAGGGATAAAGAAGGTATGGCGGGTGAGGCACAGGGATAAGCTGGGTATGTGAAGGTACAGGGGATAGTTAGCTGTGTATGTCGGGGTGAGGGTAGGGGAGAAGAGTGTCAGGTAAGTACAGGGGATAGTTAGCTGTGTATGTCAGGTGAGGTACAGATAGTTAGCTGTGTATGTCAGGTGAGGTACAGGATAGTTAGTTGCATGGCGGTGAGGTATAGGGAGAAGTTGCTGTATGTCAGGTGAGGTACAGGGATAGTTGCTGTGTATGTCAGGTGAGGTAAAGGGGAGATAAAAGTGTCAGGTGAGTGTAAAGGAGAAGAAGCTGTGTATGTCAGGTGAGGTAAAGGGATAAGTAGCTGTGTATGTCAGGTGAGGTACAGGATAGTTGGATGTGTATGTCGAAGAGGTAAAGGGGATAGTTGACTGTGTATGTCAGGGTGAGGTACAGGATAGTTAATGTGTATGGCAGGTGAGGTACAGGGGATAATGTGTATGTCAGGTGAGGTAAAGGGATAGTTAACTGTGAGGTTGTGAGGTAAAGGAGAAGAAAGCAATGCTGGTGAGGTAAAGGGATAGTTAGCTGTATGTCAGGTGAGGTAAAGGGAATAGTGTGTATGTCAGGTGAGGTACAGGGGATAAGAAGGTGTATGTCAGGTGAGTGTGTAAGGGGATAGTTAGCTGTATGTCAGGTGAGGTAGATAGTTAGCTGTGTATGTCAGGTGAGGTAAAGGAGTGTTAAAATGTCAGGTGTAAAGGGATAGTTAACTGTGTGTCAGGTGAGGTAAAGGGATAAAGAAGCTGTGCAGGAGAGGTAAAGGGATAAGAAGTGTATGTCAGGTGAGGTACAGGGATAAAGAAGGTGTATGCAGGTGGAGGTAAAGGGAATAGCACTGTGTATGTCAGGTGAGTGTGTGTGGGATAGTTAGCTGTGTATTGTAAGAGGTAAAGGGGATAGTTAGCTGTTGTGTATGTCAGGTGAGGCTAAGGGATAGTTAGCTGTGTATGTCAGGTGAGGTAAAGGGATAGTTAGCTGTGTATGTCAGGTGAGGTAAAGGATAGTTAACTGTGTATGTCAGGTGAGGTAAAGGAGAAGAAGGCATGTCAGGTGAGGTAAAGATGGCAGGTGAGGAGATAAGCTGTGTATGGCGGTGAGGTACAGGATATTAGCTGTGTATGCAGTGGGTGAGGGCACAGGATAGTTAGCTGTGTATGTCAGTAGGTACAGGGATAGTTACTGTGTATGGCAGGTGAGGTACAGGGATAGTTAGCTGTAGTATGGCAGGTAAGGTAACAGGGAGGAAGAAGGTATGGCAGGTAAGGCACAGGGATAGTTAGCTGTGTATGGCAGGTGAGGCAGGATAGTTAGCTGTGTATGGCAAGGAGGTACAGGGATAAGCATTGTGTATGGCAGGTGAGGTCAGGATAGCTATTGTACAAGGTTAGGCACAGGGATAGTTAATGTGTGCTGGCAGGTGAGGCATTGGATAGTTAGCTGTTGCATGGTAGGTACAGGGATAGTACAGTGTATGGCAGGTTAGGCACAGGGATAGTTAGCTGTGTATGGCAGGTGAGGCAGGGATAGTTAGCTGTGTATGTCAGGTGAGGCACAGGATAGTTAACATGTGTGTATGGCAGGAGGGCTAGGGATATTAGCTGTGTATGGCAGGTGAGGTACAGGATATAGCTGTGCATGGCAGGTGAGTGCAAGAGGATAAGCATGTATGGCAGGTAAGGCACAGGATAGTTATGTGTGGCAGGCATAACAGGATAGTTAGTGTATGCAGGTGAGGTACAGATGGAAGAATGTGCAGCTAGAGGCACAGGATAAAGAATGGTATGGCAGGTGAGGCACATTGGATAAAGAAGGCATGGCAGGTGAGGTACAGGAGAAGAGCTGTGTATGCAGGTTAGGCACAGGATAAGTACTGTTGTATGGCAGGTAAGGCACAGGGGATAGCAAGTATGGCATGTATGGCAGGTGAGGCACAGGGTATAGTTGTGTATGCAAGTGAGGCACAGGATAGTTAGCTGTGTATGGCAGGTGAGGCAGGTATAAAGAAGTGGCAAGGAGGTACATAGGATAAGAATGTGTATGGCAGTGAGGTACAGGGTAGTTAATGTGTATATGAGGTACAGGGGATAGTTATTGTGTATGGCAGGTGAGGTACAGGATAGTTAGCTGTATGGCAGGTGGAGGTACAGGGGATAATGACAGGTATGGCAGTGAGGCACAGGGATAGTTATGTGTATGGGAGGTTGAGGCACAGGGGAGAAAGATGTGTATGAGGCAACAGGATAAAGAATGTGTATGGCAGGTGAGGCAAAGGGATAGTTAGTCAGTGTATGGCAGGGATAAAGAATGTGTATGGCAGGAAAGTGATGGCAGGTGTGTGATGAGCAAGGAGGCAGGGATAGTTAGCTGTGGGCAGGTGTGAGGCACAGGATAAAGAAGTAGGTATGGCAGAGGCAGGGAAGGTACATGGGTATGAGGTAAAGGGATAGTTAGCTGTGTGGCAGGTGAGGCACAGGGATAGTTAAGGCTGTATGTCAGGTGAGGTACAGGGATAGTTAGCTGTATGGCAGGTGGAGGTACAGGGGATAGTTAGCTGTGTATGGCAGGTTAGGATACAGGGATAGTTAGCTGTTGCATGGCAGGTAAGGCACAGGGATAGCTAATCTGATGAGGCATGTATGGCAGGTGAGGCACAGGCATAGTTAATGTGCATGAAGTGAGGCACAGGGATAGTTAGTGCATGGCAAGGAGGCACAGGGCATAGTAATGTGCATGGGAGGTAACAGGATGAAATAGTGCAGGCATGTGAGGCACAGGATAAGGTGTATGGCATGTATGGTGAGGCACAGGGTATAGATGTGTGTATGCAGGTGATAGGATGCAAGGTGTATGTAGTATGGCAGGTGAGGTACAGGTATAGAATTG